TCATGTAAGAGGAAACCGAAAGGTAGTTTAAGTTGTCTGTTGTTTACTTTAAATTGGGGCTTGATGTGTTTTTAGTCAGTAATATGAAAACATTGCTGCAGTCAGCTAGATGACATTGTGAATATTTCAGTTAACCATAAGATGTCTCTACTCATTGAATTGTCAAAACGCACAATGTGGTTCTGATATTTAACTTGTATTTATATAAGCCCTTAATTTTCTCTACAAAGCATCGACTAATGATTTGCAGTCCTTTTTTTGTTGTTGTTTTGGTTAATTGTAAAATGTAGATGGAGGTGAAATTGAGTGAAGAGAAGGATCTTCTACATCAAGATAAGTTACGTGTTAGCCAGGATTTGAAGCTATTTTTGCAGCCTGTTCGTGAGAAATTGCTTCAATTTGAACAGGAACTCAAAGAAATTTAGAAGAGTGGCAGCTTCAGTTCTGTTAAGGGCAATAGCCAAGGTTATTATCTGTATTTTGATTTCATATTTAACTGGAAACTATTATTTCCAATGCATGTAATGGAGAGTTGAGATGGAGGCAAATGCTTTTTCCATTGAGGGTTAGAACTTGTAACACCGTTATGTTTGTTTACAAGTGGACTCAGTGAGTGTATTGAATTATGCAATAGTAAGCATCAACTGTGACACTGAACATCTGTTCGTTGTGTTTTAAATTGTGGATTTTAGTGTAAAATGCTCAATTTGATTTTAGAGATACTAATTTTTATGTTTAAAAATATTTATGAAAATATGTTCTTTCAAAAAGATTGGGATAGCATTTTTTCTTATTGAAGTGTAGGACAACTCTCAATTTCTTAAATAGCTGACATTCTCAAGTCAAGCTCTGTAGAGTAACTCTTTAACGTGGACTTATGGGTTCACTGTCATGTGGTGTTCCCCATCCAATAATGCATTGGCACATGCAAGGTTTTTTTTCCATATGGTAATATATTATTGGATTGGAATGTCAAGTGGTGGTTAACCTGTTTCATGTAGATCGCTTTCCTAGGTGCTTAGGATTAGAATTGATGGAATAACTTGTCAAGGTATGTTCAAGCAATAAAATTGAAATCATGAAAGGACTTATCCCTGCCCAACATGGTAGGGATTACTACCTTTATTTCTTCAATATACGTTGAATGTATTCCATTGTCTACTCCAATTCCAGCACCAAACATGAAATGAAATGAAATTCCTCATTTTAACTCAGTATATCGTTGGTACGTCTGTTCTGGCCGAACCTTTGGACTATGTTTGGGTGAGAACTTTTCAAAAGGGATTGAGGCTAAGTTAGTAGGGAATGAATTACAAAATGTGAGATAGATGAGGTATATAAGCATTACAAATCATTTTTACATACCTTTATATTGGTATACAATGTATTTATAATTACTCGTCCATATTTTTTAGTCCATTCCTTACTAAGACCTATACCAATGCCTTGCCCACTACTAAGATAGGTTTATGGGTTTCCGTGCTAAATTGTGGCCTCACATTGAAAAACGATCGATGAATGTCATACTCCATTTACTTCCACCGTTTGGGCATCAATGTCGTAAATGCAATCCACTCTGTAAACAACTGTTAACAGTGTTGATACCGGGCAATGCAGCTGCGGATGACGCTGTGAAACTAAGCTAAGGACGACAATGCATTGCTCGGCTTAGGAATTAAAATTTTGCTTTCAAAACAGAAAACTCAATTCAAATCAGATACGATACCAGCATGACCTCTTTGCAGCTTTCAGTCTCAAAGAGATAAAAGAGATTGGATCGCCCCGGAGTTTCAGAAGGTCTGATCCGAATGCAACCCAATATCCATTTCTAACTGAAAAGCAAGTTGGCAGAATCGAGCACCAATATACTGAAACAGTTTCTAAAAAAACAAAAATACAAAGTCCCTAACAAATTGCATAATTCCCTGTTAACCAAATCACTTGCAGAATAAAGCCGTAACAATGACAGATGCGACGGATGCAAAAGCAGGTCCAAACTCTGGTTCGGACTCTGCAGGGACTGATCCAAGGCAAAGCTAATATACGTTCGAAAGAGGTACCATCTCAGAACAGGACTTGATGCCATCAGTTGCAAAGCTTCTATTACTTCAATAACAGCCACCTAATTCTCAGCATTCTTTTTTTTCAATGATCCACTTAGAGCAACCTTGATTTTCGCCCATTCCTTCAACGAAGAAGCAGTCCTCATAAATGAGCAAGTTTCACCTATCTCAATATTTGCCGCAGATGCTTGCTTTGGTGTTATATCACAAATTTTCCCCACATCTGGATCATAAGCACCATCGTTGTCTACTATAGTATCTTCTAGACTACCTAGTAAAACACTGTCTTCTCTTCCAATTCCTAAACAAGACCTGCCCTTGTCATTATCTTGTTTTACCATCTCCATAAGCTTGCCGTCAGTGGAGCTCACAGGATCAGCACCTTTGGGGTTTGGAAGGACCTGCTGTTCAGAAGAGATACCTGGCACAATTTGTTTTATGCTAAATGAAGTGTCAGTATTATCATTAACTAACTGTGTCCATGAGGATTGCTGGCACCATGAAGAACCTCTACCAGACAACTTGTTTGAAACTACAACTGACTTGGTAGGTTGAGGTTCCACCAGTTCCATATCACTGGGCTGGTCTTCCAAGTTTTCATTGCTTTCTGGATCCTGGCTTTCACTATCAGAAAGGGGCACTTCTGGACTACCAGATTTTGGTTCAACCAGGTCAGTGGAAGAAGCACGTCTACCTGAAAACTCATTTGAAATTCCAATTGACTTGGTAAGTTGAGGTTCCACCAGTTCCATATCACCGGGCAGGTCTTCCGAGTTTCCATTGCTTTCCAAATCCTGGTTTTCACTATCCGAAAGGGGCACTTCTAAACTAACAGATTTTGGTTCAACTTGGTCAGTGGAAGAAGCACCTCTACCCAACAACTTATTTGAAACTACAACTGACTTGGTAGGTTCCACCAGTTCCATCTCACTGGGCTGGTCTTCCGAGTTTCCATTGCTTTCCAAATCCTGGTTTTCACTATCAGAAAGGGACACTTCTGAACTACCAGATTTTGTTTCAACTTGGTCAGCAGAAGGAGCAATGCCGGTCAGTACATGTGAAACGCTGAATGAACTGCTTCCCCTATGACCAACAAGTTGTCTCCACGAAGACTTCTGAGACCAAGAAACCTGTTGCCGACCTAATTCTGGTTGATCTGGTTGTGCTCCAAAGAATTTTCCTGAAACTTTTGACTGGGTTGGCAAATTCTTCTTGCTGCCAGAAAGAGCTGCCTCCAATTCCTTTTGATGGTTGTAATCACTAGGAAGGGATTTCCTCTTTTTCTTAGGAGGTTCATTAATATTTATCTGCGCTTCACTTGGTGATGATCTTTTTCCTTTCAGAGCTTGTGTTTCAGTGGATTTAAATTCCTAGTTACCAGATATAGAAAAAAGAGAGATCTGATGATGCTAGAAAGCTGTAGACATTGTGCGCATGAGCACAGAAGCAAACTTGAGTCTCAGAGAAAATTCAAGATTAAGGAATATACCTGAAACTCTGATAGTTTTTCCATTTTTTCCTGGTTGCTGGAGACAACGTTGATGATAAGGTTGTCTTCGTCAGGGGGAGTAGTAGCAGCAAGATGCAGTTGATGGGGTTGTTGATGAGTACCATCATGATCGACATTTGTTTCATTTTGAGTTTGGAATAGCCTGTCCATGACCTTAGTCATTATATTAAGCTCTTGCTCATCGATCCCATTATCACATAATAAATTGTCGGATTGAGTTTGACTAGGTTTAGTAGTTGTAGGTTGAGAAGGGACGGGGACATAATGCTCTTCACAGTCGCAGAAATGGACAGGGAGAGAAGGAGTTTGAAGACGCTGGAAGCTGTATTTGTGTTTGCCAGTTCCAGTAAAGGGCAAAGCTTTCACCTATATTTATGCAAAAACACAAGTACGCAGTAGGACAAGAACACAAATTAATGAATAGACGAAGGAACGAATGAGATGATGTTGTTGGTTTAAAATAGACAAATAAATACAAAGGAAGGAAGGAAGGAAGGAAGGAAGGTGTGTGGTGCTTCTTCACTTACGGTTCTTAGTGCAGGGAAGAAAATCCGAAGTTGCTTCGTGTTGTTGCTGCTGGTTTTGGTTGAGTGTGATAGTGAATGTTTAATATCATGTGCATCATCTGGAGGAGGAGCAGCAGCAGCTAGTCGAGCAGCATCTTCATCCCATTCGCGTTGCAAGCGAACAAGATAATCTTCTTTAGCCTTTTGGAGCCTCAGCTTCCCTCCCTTCCACGCGCACCCATTGTACTGTAATTTTGTATTGTAATTTACACAATATTTTATTACTACAATACAATTTTCATGATAATTTATTGGAATTTACCCAATAAAAAAAAAGAATTACGAGAAATTTGACCAAAAAAATAAGAGAAAGAGAGCAACCGTGGTGAAGAGCTTGGAGAGGGACTTGTCGTCGGAAGGGAGGAAGTCGACGTACGCAAAGATGCGACCTTTGGTTCTGACGATGTCCACTCCCTCCACGGTTCCTCCGCCGGAGAACATCCGACGCAGGTCCACCTCCGTCACAGTACCTCCCAATCCCCCAACATGTATCCGAATCCACATCTTTCCTACTCCATCTCCATCTGTTTCTGTTTCTTCTTCCTTGTTGTTTTGCAAACTATTGGGTTCAGATTCACTTCTTCTTCTTCTATACATGAATTTTGTTTTGTATATCAATTAACTACTCAGTCTACTTACAACGTCTCTCCTTCTTCTTCCTCTCCGTAGTTCTCCCTTCTATCTGCCAGCGCCAGTTCCAGTAGTAATACGATACAAATCGAAGGGAACCCTAGCTGTTTCCTTTTGCTCTGTTTCGGCCCACAAGTCCAAAGGCCCAACATTTTTTTTTCAATAAAAGGCCCAACATTGAGTTGGCCCAAATTTCTCTCTCTTTTCTCTGTCAATTTAGTTTAATTTGCGCAGGAGGCAGGAAGGAACCCAAAATTAACCAAAGAAAGAAAAAAAGGGTAAAGGTTGCTTCTGCTGTGTTGGTTGGTTCATCGACGTTGGACAACCTTTTGGAAATTGTCATTGGGCAGTGCAGGGAGAGGGAGGGATGCCTGTAAAGAGAGAACCCTGCAAATTTTTTCAGCGCGGCAAGTAAGTCGGTTGCTCATCTCTTATGTTGAATTTTTTTTGTTGATTGCTGCAAATATCAACTTAATTTTATTTTCTAGTAGAAAAGAAATCAGAAATCATTCTTGAACCTGCCTGATCCCTAGGCAGGCGAGCAGCTCAAAAAATAATTATGACTAACTAATTGGTGATTCTTTCGTTCATTCATTCATTCATGCTTCGCCTTGCCTATTGCTTGCTTCTTGAGCGTATGCACTGCAGCACTGGTTAGGTTATGTTAGTTTTCCTCTATTAATTTATTAGGATATGATGATTTTTTTTTCACTTACAATGCTTACGAGAAAAGGAAAGAAAATGTTAACACTCTCCCTTAGCATCAGCACCAGGATCGAGTGGAGACACTCGGCTCTCCCCGTCCACGCCGGGCAACCCAACCCAATTGGTTATACCATATCTTATCCATTGACACAAGTACAACTTTATCCATGAAAACTGCCTTCAAGGAAATGGTTTCCAATCTGTTTACATACTGCACTTTCCAAACAATGTGTGAATCGTCTAATAGATGCCACTTGCTCTTCTGATGCTCTTCTCATCTTTTCAAACTTCTCTTTTGCACATGCTTTTGTGCATATTTTATATTTTCCCTTTAGTTTTGCTTCCCTTTCATTGCAGAGTTGTTCACTCAAGCACTAGCTCTATATTTGACCACCAAAGTGTAAGATGCGTTTGTTTTTCCGTTCAGCTGTCAGTATGGAGATAGGTGCAAATATCTTCATGTGGTTCAGCAACAGCACAAGTCCAATCCCTTTGGATTTGGCTCCGACCAACAGCACAAGTCCAATCTCTTTGGATTTGGCTCCGACCAACAGGGAAAGTCCAACCCTTATGGTTTTGGGGTTCAAAACAATTCTCAGACAAAAGGGGCTGCTGATTTTGGTCCCAAACAGAGCCAGAATAAGGTTTTTTCCCTTCTTACATCTTTAGTCTTTTCTTATTTAAGTTGTAACTGTCCCTACTCCTTATTGAGAATGAGAATGACAAGTGACAAGATTTCTTTCAAATTTTCTGAAGGCTAACAAATTAATTGTACTAAAGAATTTACTATTCTTGTGGTTACTGCTGATGTTGGCTTTCAAATTTTCTTTGTTTAACATCCTAGCTATCCACACATTGCTTAATGCTATTAAAGATTTGTCATAGAATTATGCTTATTGCTATGGTTAATCGATCTGCCTTTGACAGCCTTTTGAAAACAAGTGGTCTCGTTTCTCCTCTGCAACTGCAGCTGCTGCCCCATCATCACAGAAATCTGATAAGCAGGCCCAGACAACAAATCATACGTAAGTTACTGATTGACGATTTACATGCATGTCTGTTTGCAGTGCTACTACCTCTGTGCTGCCACTTTTATCTTCTCAGTTACACTTAAATAACATATCTGACCACATATGAATCCTTGTATCTGAAGGTGCACAGATCCCGAGTCATGCAGAAGTATAATTGTTGGCGATTTTAAGCATGAGAGACCACTTTGGAAGCTTACATGCTATGGTCACTGGAAAAAGTATGTTTTGAGTAACCACTGATATAAAAAACTTCCAACATGTGTATAAAATCCTCCGCTTTTACAGTAAATGAAATCATTTCCACGGCTGTACATATATTATTTATTTTGTACTATTTGAACATGTCTGATTTACTAAACAAGTCTTATCCACAGTTACTCAAACTTGAATTCTGGGTTTGTCATGATGAGAAAATCGATAAGAGAAAAAGAAAGAGTCATATTTTCTCTATGTTTTATTTTCAGTGGATAGTTTCTTATATGTAAGAATTTACTAGGCATAAATTATATTTATCTGTTTGAACTTACTCTTCAGTCTACCACCAGATCTCTGCAGTAGAACTTTTAGTCCTTTTTCGTGAAATGATTAAGATTAATTGGCCGATCCAACTGTCCACCAAGTATAATCCAATTGTTTGCAGTTCTCCTTGTGACATTGCTGGTGATATTAGTTACGAAGAATTGAGGGCAGCAGCATACGATGATGCCAACCGCGGGTTGAATTTGCAGTCAATAGTAAGATAGTCTGACATATCACATTTAGATCTATTTCTGTATTATATCAAAGATATAAGACAATTAGTTCTGTAATACCATGATCATATATTTTCTATGGTTATGTTTGTGTGTCAATGAATGTTGCCTGATGCTTGCCTCCCACAAGTTGGAAGGAATAGCTCAATTTTGTAACTTAATAAATATTTAAAGGTATGCTTCAGACTGCATTTAAGGAAAGAGATACCAAGGAAATAATCAAAAAGTTAAGGGCTAGTGTAATAAAAGGCGAAGTGTCTTATACAGTTGTACCTCTAGCCTCTTTAATAATAAGAAAATGTAAACGATATGCTTAGACCTACAGTGAATTGGCTTCATTTTTTTCATTTCTCTCTCATTTGCATACAATATTGACTCCTTGTAGGGAGTATGATCCAACTCTTTTGCTTTCTGTTTCCAGGACAGACAAAGGGAGAACATAATTTTATCTATTTATTCTTTTTGTTTTTTGGCTTTTCTGGTTTCGTTTCCAAACTGCAATCACAAATTGGTTATCCCTTAACTTTTGGCTCAAGAATGAAAGCCTAGTAAAAGGACCGAGAATGAAAGCCTAGTGAAACATTTGTGATTAAAAGTAAATATGTATTGAGACATGGTTACTGCTGCTCCTTTATGGTGGTTATTTATTCTTGCAATTAGTTTAGAGAAAATAGAATTTTAAGTTTAGTCTTGTAATTTAATAGCAGGTGAAGGATCATTTTCATTAAAAACAATACTTGATGGGACTTAGTTTTCAAATTTTAGTAGGATTATCTTTTTTTGCTGAAATAGAAGCTAAGTCCTGACTTCTGCGCTGCTGCTCAATGTGAAAATTGTTCTAATGACGCTGTTCAAAGTAATTAGGAATTCTTCTCAAAAAAAAGTAATTAGGAATAGGAAACAAATTCTAATTAACTACTCTCCTGTTCTTTTGATTGAACTAAAAATATAAAAATAAAAACCTTTTGCTGTCTTCTGTGGGCTGCCAATTAAATACATTCTGTACAGGTTGAAAGAGAGAGAAGTTTACTCAATACCAAGTTGCTTGAGTTTGAGAATCTTTGCAAGCCTCACACAGCTTTACCAAACTCTACCCTTGCCAGCCAAAACCCTTCGCCATCAGCTAGTCCAAATGGATTCTTGCAGACTGCTCAAAATAGTGTTGCTCCTTCAGTCTCAAGCTTTACCCAATTGGGCACATCCCTGAACACGGGTTTTGGACCAAGGCAAGTCTCACTTCACTAGTTAGTTGTTGTAATCCTTATTAATATATTGTAATCCTGCTCCCATGATTTCCGCTGGGCTTTATAAATGTGTAGCGAAATTCTTTCTCAGGCCATCTGCACCATCAAATAATGGTTTTCAACAGCTGAATCCTTTTCCTAATTCTTCCCAGACTCCGAGTGGTGTGGGAACAAACAATTTTCCTTCTGGAAGTGTTGGTAAGAGTTTTTTTTCTTCAATTCAGTAATACCATTACATTTGCAGTTCCTTAACGTTTCTTCTAACTTTAAGACGGTGACTTCAGTTGGCAGCCAATTCCCTGCCTCTACACATGGAAATGGTTTTCCCTCAAATATGGGACTCATCAACACTGGCATCATAAGACCTCAAACCAACCCATTTGCTACTTTAGCAGTGTCACAAATTCCTAGTGCAACAACTGGCCAGTCACCCATTGTTGGACAATCAACAACAGAAGTTGAGTTCGTGTAAGTTATGTTAACAGAAGAAAAAAAGTTTGCTCTATCATGTGTCTTTTATAAAGGAGTCTTATTTGTTCGTGTATGTTATATCATTTCCCGCACTTAACCATCTCTTTCTTACTTGATTGCTGCTTGGACTTTTCATTTATCTTATCCTGCAATGTGGTGTGATAATCCAATGAGTGTTTGAACGCTCAGAGTCCGCACTTGAGCCCGCCTGTATCCTTAGACATATATGTTTCTCGTCTTTTAAATTCCACCATTCTGTGTTTTGGGTCTCTTGTATCGTCTGTTTCAATGATGTCTGCTTTTGGTTATATTCATATCCCGCTTTTTTGTCAATCTTACAGAACTAACATGCAAACGGAGAAGATTTCCGGGAATACAAGTATTTGGCTGAAAAAGATATGGAGTCCTGGAGAGGTATAAATAAGCTTATATTTTGTTTACTTTAGATACATGGACTTCAAAAGTAAAACGTTGAGACTTGACATTTAATATTAGAGTATCATCTGCACCGTGGTGCATTTAATATGCTTAATCTTGTTAATACCTATCTTCTTCGCCACCCTTTCTCTTTTTTATCCTCTTATCATGCTGCGACATTTGTTAATATATAATGTATTTCCAAGCAGAGCCTTATGATGATTGGATAGTAGTCTTAATTGTCCACGTTGAGAAATTATAATGAACGTTCTTTGATGCTTAAGCTAAAAAAATAAAAAGATAGTGAAGTTAAAAGGATAGTCTCCTCCTATTAGAAGGCCTCCATTTGTTTGTTTTGGGATGCTGGCCTCCACTTTTAACCAGAAAATCGAATTACGAGTAGCACCATTAGAGTAAAGAGCTTTGCTTTCCTAAGCATCAAATGACCCGTTTAATCTCAACCCCTCACTCATGAAAAATGATGTGCGGGGGACAATCATGCTTCAAGTAAATACCCGTTAACATAGTAGAAGCTTGAGTTTGTGATATAGCTACACCTAATTCTGGACCGGTTAATGCAACAAGTATACATGGCTGTTACTGCTGATTATTTCAAAGCATGATATATGGTGTAATTTGTTCTTTCTCCCCAGATTCCCGAAGAAGATCCACCAGAGGCACTGGTTGAGTTGTAAGTTGTGGCTAGGAGCAGTACAAGCATAGCGGCTACTCATGTCACTTACTAGTGAAGAAAACTAAACTGTGCATCTGTTTTGATGCTGAGAAAATGTAGAGAGACTGAAGATTTCAATACATTGATTAAATGATAATTACAAGAAGCACAGCTTGTCACACTAACATAAGCAACTAATTGTATTAACAGAAGCTATCAACAAGTGAGGTTTGTCAACGAGTCTGTTTCTTGTATGGCTAAAGTTTTGCTGTGCTAAGGCTCATGATTTTCTTCTCTATGTTTGAAATTAGATTACAACATCGCTGTCATATACATATTCTTCAAAAGAGAGGTATTGGCCAATTTCCCACTGAACTTGTAAGGATTGGCCAATTTCCCCCCATAACTTTAATTTTGGCCAATTTCCCCTCTCAACTCTCATAATTAGTTAATTTTCCCCTTCAGCTTTAATTTTGGCCAATTTTCTTCCTCAACTCTCATAATTAGTCAATTTACATCCTACTGTTAATTTTTTTAATTTTCCATTTATTCTTCCGTTAAGTAGGTATCTGCATGACTGCCTTTAGAGGGCAAAAAAGTCATTTTCCCTACACCTTCTATCTTCTTTCTTTTCTTCGAACTTTCTCTTGTTCTTCCTTTTCTCCAAGCCGAGTCCGTGACTGCCGCCAACGCCTCCCTCCTCTGTTGTTCGCAGCCCAGTCCATTTGATATTCTGCGTTTGCAATTTGCAGCTGCCCACACCCTGTCGCCTCCTCCCTCGGCCTCGTCTACCTCTGTTAAGGTGTAGGGAAACCTACTTAACGGAAAATGACAGTAGGGTGCAAATTAACTTTTTTTGCCTTTCAAAGGCAGTCATGCGGATACCTACTTAATAGAAGAATAGATGGAAAATAAAATAAAAAATTAACAATAGGGTGCAAATTGACCAATTATGAGAGTTGATGGGGGAAATTAGCAAAAATTTAAGTTAAAAGGGAAAAATTGGCCAATGGTCACAAGTTCAGAGGGTAAATTGATGAACACCTCTTCTTCAAAAATAGTGCCTCCGTATGACTTGTTTTGTTCTTTTTGCCATGTCCGCATCCATGTGGTCTGCCAAAGCAGTGTTTTTTGCCCATACCTACATAAGCCAAAAAAGGATTGGGAAATTTAGTTAAAATCTTGTTTGTTCATGTAATTGCATTGGCTAGAAAATGCATCAATCCCATGAAGAGCGGAGGCTTAACCATTTGGTTTTCAGTTTTTTATTTTTACATTTTGTTATTGTACTCACTACCTTTATGTTTCTTAAGAGCGAGCCATGGGAGTTGCCCGGGGGACAAGGGAGAGGAAAGGGCTCGAGGCCTTGTAAATCAACTCTAGCCTTGAAGAGCCCGAGCTGGTGAGAAGGCCCGAGCAGAAGGCTTGTCAACTTTTGACAGCCCGTGAGCCCGAGCTCCAAACCCTTTTTTTATTTTTTTCTGTCAGGTGCGTGCACCCCACTCGCGCGTGAGGGCGCGTCGCCCGACAACTTTTCAGAAAAGCAGTCCACTTTTGTAGTGGTCTCAGTTACCGTTAGGAAGCCATGTGGCTTCTCACGGTCCGTTCGATCTCAACTGCTCCTTAATTTGGACCGTTGGATCTCAACGGTAAAAAAAAAAAATCTTATTTAATATCATTCGTTCGATCTGAGATCAACGGTCAATATTAATATGCTTTATAAATAAAGAAAAAATAGTTTTAAAATTAAGAAAAGTTACCGTTGTGACACGTGACACAATCTGGAGTGTTGGAATTCAAATTTTTTAAAATCCAATGGCAGAGATTAATTGTTTGAATAAAAATTAAAAAAAATGGAAAAAATCTGAAAAAATTGTAACAAATTTGTAAAAAATTGTTTTTACTTTTCTATAAATACCACTTCTTCTCCATCTACCTTACACCACAATTTCATATTTTCTCAACTACTTTCAATCAAATTCCTATCTTTCTCTCAAAGTTTCAATCCAATTTTTTTCCACAAAATTACTACTGATGCAGGTACGAATTGGTCGCTTCTTGAAGATGTTGCGTTGTGCACTACCCAGGAAAACCTCGCATCTCGCCCTTCTTCAGAAGCCTTTGCAAGTCCATGTGAGTAGGTTTTCGGAGGTACTCAGCGGTGTACAAAGATTCGACTGCTTCGCAAAACCTCATCAGGGCCTCAAGAATGGTTGATTTCCCCATCCTCGTTATCTCATCCACTTGGTTTGCAGATGCTCCATACGCAAGCATCCGCAACGCAGCAGTGATTTTTTGCTCAGGCAGGAGACCCATAACACCACAAACATCCTTTTTTTGCACAAAGTAAGAATCATGGTTGCAAACATCAGTCATGATTCTGTTGAACAAATGTCATTCCATTCTAAAACGGCGTCTGAAGTACGTATCAGAAAATGCACTATTATGGACAAAGTAATCGTCCAACAGCTCTTCACCCCGTCGTTGCCTGCTTCTATCAAGGTTTCTTGAATGGCTGGGCATATCTGAGCAATAGTCTGGATGACTCGACGGGAATGTGAGGCTCTGGACATTCTTGTTTCGTAATCTCTCCTTCTACGCTCCTCATCCTCTTCCATCTCATTTTCGACTATTTGAAGGTTGAACATTCCTTCAGATTGGTTAAACAATTCTTCTTCTTGCTGATCGATTTCCCACATCATCATTGATGAAGAAAAAGACATTGTAAGGATGGATGGTGAAGAAGAAGCAGAAACTATGAATAATGAGATAGAGATGTTGAGAAAATTGGTGTGAGATTTGTGAGGATGGATGGTGGATTATATGGACGATTCAGAAATGATCGGATTGTAGACGAGACCACTTGGCATGCCGTCATTCGTTAAAAATCTGATCGAAATCTATCCTTAAAGATTCTGAAAAGATAATGACACGTGACACGATCGTATTGGATAAAAATCTTATCGAAATCGATCTCCAATAATTATCTTTTCGGATAATGACACGTGGCGCAATTTTGAACGAGTTAAAATTTGATCGAAATCTATCGTCAAAGATTCTCAAAAGATAACGACACGTGGCACGATGACATTGGATAAAAATCTTATCGAACTCCATCGCTAAATAATTGTTTTTTTTTATAAAATGACATGTGGAGCAACAAGAATGATTTAAAAAATCTTATCCGAAATTACAATAATTTTATTTTGTATTATTTAAACAAACAAAAAAAACTAATATTTTATTGCCTATTGCCAAGGGGGAGGGCTCCAAGGGTGGAGATGCAAATGACAATTACTGTTCATTAATGGCAATTACTATTCATTAAAGGCAGTTACTGTTCAATATGGTGGATTCAATAGTGGATTGTCAGGGGGGAGGGCTCCATGGGTGGAGTTGCTCTAAAAGAAGACAAAAGCCACTTAAATTTCCCACCGGTGCTATATGCTTGCGTGGCATCCCTAAGTTGTAGCACGTGGGTACTGAGTAAACCTAAAGAAAATGCTTATAAATGAGACTTAATTGCGATAGAAAATTGTAACAATGATTCTTTAACTTTAGTTTAATGGGAATAATGGTCATTTAACTAAAAATTTATAAAGATTGATCCCTTATCTCATCAAAACATGCATATTTGGTCTTTTTCGTCAAGTCAGTAAAAAATCCGTCAGAATGAATCATGTTGGAAGGACCATTGTTACAATTGGGTTAAAGTTGCAAGATCATTGCTCCAATTTAGTTAAAGTTGAGGGATCATTTTTCTAATTGGGTTAAAATTAAGGGACCATTACTATAATTTTTCTCATTTCGTTTTCCATATTTGCCTCTTGATTTAGCCACCCTCTTGATTCAGCCACACGTGTGTGGCACATGAATCATTTTGATAGAAGTTCTAATGGAGTTTACGAAAAATGACCATAGCTGCACATTTTGAAGAGTTAAGAGACCAATGGTCATGAATTTTTAATTGAAGGACCATTACTTAAATTATGTTAAAGTTTAAGGATCCTTACTACAATTTTCTCTTATTGCGATGATATCTCAGTTCAATCATTGCAACCGTAAATATATATTTTTTTCATAAAATTTTTATGGTGGTCATATTTGCGGGTTTCTTAGTCTCACCATTGAAGTTTTGTTTTTCGCATCCTTGCCATGAAAGAAACGAAATTTTGGCCCCCATATGGCAAATTTTACTTCAATTTTATAGGAGTACGACTACCAATCAAGGATTGGAACTCATGGCATTGAGAGATTTTCTCTTGAAGTAAGTAATGCATAGTGTCGGGGGTTTAATTTATCCATTGAATGCTTACGTAGTATCTTTCCGTTGCATCACTATTCACTAGTGTACTTATTTTCTTGTATTAGATGCTGAATGGTAAGTAAATATTGTCATTAGTTTCCGTTTCTTGAATTGAGTAGTTAAAGTAGCCATAGAGAGCATATAATTAATCGTTGAATTTGATATAATGACCTCAATTGAAGATATGCGTGAAAAACAAAATACTCATAAGTAATGAATAATTAATCGTCAAATTGATATAATGACCTCAATAAAAGATATGCGTGAAAGACAAAATACTCATAAGTAATGAAAAAGTAAGATGAGGAATCATGTTTGCTATCTTTTTTTATTGTTTTATTTATTTATTAAAAAAAATAGAAAAACAAAAACAAAAACAAAGATGAGCCAAGAATGATGAATCATGGTAGCGGCATGTCCTTTACGCGTTTTGAAATGTAAGCTTTTTAGTTTGGGAAAAGATTCTTAATCGAACAGGTATTATAGATCGTGCAAACAGTGTTTCCAAGGGGGAGGGGACCCACCCTTGTACCTTCACTCCTTCCTTTGCAACTAAACAAGTAAACAACTAAAAAGGGCAGGAAGAAATCCTCTGCGAGCGACTACATTAATATCGTATCATGCTCTATGCTATTATTATATAATATTAGGAGACGTTTGTTGCACCGGACTATCTTGGACTTGACTAGCTTTAAGGACTAAGCTGGACTGCCTTAGAATAGACTAAGCTGGACTAACTTAGTGAAGCGTTTGATGCAGTATCAGACTAAGAAGCATGATAATTAATAAATTCTAATATTATATTAATTTATCTATATCTCTGTTAATATTTTATTCTTAATTCTCTCATTTTTCCTTCTATTTTTCTGAAAACTCTTCCTCTTCTTCGAAACCCAATTCCATACTATGAGATCAAATCAAAACCAACTTCCTACAATTGCATATCATATCAAAACCAACTCCATGCAATTACAG